TGTCAGTTAAATATCTACAAAGTCATATAAAAAATGTGTTAGAATCAGGAAACATACACAATCGCTCGACACTATTGTTTAATTTATGTAATTTTAAAAAATAATGTTCTTTATTAATTTATGCACACTGTAAACCTAAAATAATTGTACTAAAGCTTATCAATCTCAGCTTAACATAGTTGTATTAGAAGCTAGTTGACGGATCTCTCCCCTGTTGGATTGTTAGTCCCGTTATTCCGAGAAACTTCGGCCAAGGCTGCTTTCAACCCGTAAACCCGTATGCCAACAGCCAAGCAAAAAATGCTGCGCTTGCCTGCCGCTCAGCACGAATGCCGACACAGATAAACGTAGCGGCCACAAATGAAATGGATAAGCAACAATATTCATAAGTATAAGCTTCCTTAACACGCCAATTAGCTAATTAAGCACTTGCATTGTAACCAAGAAAATTCTCGGTTACTGATCTTGTTTAGCACACCACCGGTAATTAGTGCATAGAGCTAACAATAGGTATCAAATTAAAATTATTTTCTGAATAAAACTCATTTAATAATTAGCTTTTAAGCAATTCACTTTGATACTTTGATACTATGTAGGTACTATAAATATTTCTACTAAATAACTAAATTGTATATTTATCATATTAATGAGTTGCAGAAATACTAAAATTAAAAACTTCTTGATGAGTCAAATATTCAATTTTATAGTGAATGGCTTTTGCAAAGAAAACTGAGTGAACTTTACTATTTATTTCAAATCCGCTATTTTAAAGTATTGCAAGTTGCTTCAATCTAGCTACGAAATAACAGCCAGATGCTAATAAGTAGGTAATCCAATATACCCAAAAGTTACCCACACGAATGTAAGTAATCCGTGATCAAAATATCGAAACGATACCTCTAAAGGGACCGTAACTTAAAAAAAAATAGATATTAAAATATTTACATTAGACAAATTATTAATAAAAAAATTACCCCCCTATGCGTTGCGCAGTCGGATAAAAAAATATTCACTTCAGATAGAATACCTTCTATATACGTTTCAATAAATTAAGGTAATGTTCAATAAAATCTAAATTTACATTATAAACATTAATAAATCACGGTTCAGTGATATTGACAAAACATAAACGATAAAAGGTCACGACCCATCTTATCTTACATCCTGTCATTGCCCTGGAAGATTTATTGCAGGCGTTTGTCGAGTCTAGAACTACTTTGCGAGTGTTTATAATCTTAGCAATCGTAATATGTCTCGTTATCTTGCATAGATGCAAGGTATTATATTACAAGAACGACCATGGTACGAGCTGTGGCTAAGACGCTACGTCGCCAGTTGGTTACTGCGGCTAATTCGCAAACCGCAGTCCCATTTGAAGATTTATTATAGAACTATAATTCAAAGGAAATAAGATTATCAAATGACAAAATTTACTTCAACAAAACTAAAATCTTAGTTTAGGAAATGTTTTTCTGTGGTCTCGTAGCTATATATGAGTATTTTTAACTTATTGTAATAAAAGAAGGAGTGTATGAAGGTGGCCATGTTGTTAGAAAACAGATAAATTTTCCAGGCAATATTATGTTATATAAAAAACTCACCAAGAGCGAATTGCACGCTTCTGCGCAAATGGTTTCTCACAAATATTAAATTGTAAAGATCACTTATAAGTTTCCAGTGATCTATAGTAAAGAAGTTGTTTTTTTTTAAATAGGCTAGGTCCTTGAACTCGACGAGATTAGAATAACTTCGAAACAAGATTTATTTCAAAAAATCTGTCCTCACAGTCCTTTCATTAGATACGCCACATAATAATTTGCAAAAGCTTTTTTAAAAGAGGCTTGTTTCAATAACTATAGATATACATTATACGGCCATCTTTAATTCAATCGGTCCAATACATAGTTTCCGAAAAAATCAACTGTGACAGACGAACAGACAGACAACAGATTGATCCTTTCAGGGTTTCGTGTGATTGGTATGGAACCCTAAACATAAATAAAGACAGGTCGAGTTCAATAAGTAAAAGGATAAAAAGTAGGTATGTAATAAGTAAAATAAAAAAGGAAACTCAATAACCAGTAGGTAGGTACCTATTTCAACATATGGAAATATAAAAACGAGTACTTGTTAATGGTAAAATGAAAATCAATGAGATGTTTTCAAGTAAGAGTTAAATATTTTCCTGTTGGAAAGATATGAGTGGACCAATAAAAGACAGCGCTCGTAAAAAGGGCCAAAGTTAATCAGAACTAAGACATAAAAGTCTGAAATGACATTAAAAGATCACAGTGAACTAATGTTGAAAAAAACAGTAACATTACTCTAAATGAGACACAAAATCTAAAACATAGCCAGAGGAAATGTTACGTAGATTAACAATATACTCTCCACCCCATCTCTAAGTAGGCAGGTATTCTGATTCCACCTTCGATCAACGATACAATACAAAACTATTGTTGATCGAAGGATTCCACAGATCATTTTTAATTTATTACATTACACTTACACTATTAGCGCAGTAAATTTTAGTAATTTATGTTAAGGCATTAACTTCATGAATTATAAAACAATTTTAAGAGTCAATTACTCAATGAAATTACAACCTTTGAGAGCGTGTCGCCTGTATAATATAAAAATGAATATTAAGAATTCCATGATCTCATATTGTCATCAAAATAAGAATTTGAAGACGGGTCGATTCAAGTCTCTGGCTGGCTAGCAGCTGCGGGAGACGGAGGCTGCGATCAATATGTTCGGTCGGCACCGCGCCTCGCCGCCGCCGCCCGCCGCACCGACGAAAGCGAACGCACCGACCTGCCTGCCCTTCACCGCAGTGTCGACGACCTCTGAATCCCTCATCCCCCACTTCTTCCGACCCTCTAGTTTCGCATCGGCCTTGCTTAGGGATCCCCGGCCAACTCCGTGACCCGGTTATTATCATATTCGTTGTCACGACCGATAGAATGATTTTACACTCTCCCGAATAGCCCCCTGGATATAATACCTTTGATTTACCATCATTCTTGCAAGTATGTGCAAGATTATCAATACAGTGGCAGTTTAATATAGCACCTGTTTTATATTTTCTGAAGACTTCAAATAGCCATTTATTTATAAAACAGGCTGCCGTATGTACTAATTTAAGTCCACTGTTTGCTATTATTATTTATATTTGTCTATTTTAGTCATATATCAACACACTTTAATGAACTTTGGTAAAATGTGCTATAGATATTTGCGGAGCGGGTGGACTAGTCAATGAACTTAATACGTCGACCTCCACTGCGTACTCGATTATATGCTTCGACATGAGACATCGGTACCTGATTTATTACCCATTAAATGCCATTTAAAAATAATGCCGGCTGTAGAATTTAGAAAAACTATTCAGTAACGTAGATAAATTTATCTATGCTACAGATAATAAAACACGTTAAGAAGGGTACTTTAAATGTTTTTATGGTATCGATTCACCATAACTATAATTATACGTGTCTAGAGTCGGATAACAAGACACATGGGACAGCGTCACTGCTATTTTAGGCAGAGCGTGGCATTTGGGACGGCCGACTGGAATATAACAACCTACATACTGTTCTATTCTCAGATGGCCTACTAAAACGCCACGTTATTATGTGAAAACATGAAATTTATGTTAAGGAGGAAAGTATTTCTTTAAAGAGCAAGGGCTTTAATTCGTTCACACATCAAAAAGTAACCAAGCACGAGACAGAGCCCACGCCGACGCGATTCCGTATAGAATAGTTATAACTTTGGTCCTTAAAATTATGGATTGATCTAGGAACAAACTAAAATTTGCCAAAAGAAAACTGTTATCATCATAATTATTTTTATAAGCAATAAGGAAGATTATAATAAAACAAAATATAGATATGCCGCTGCTTAGGGACTACGTTTTACGACTATTCTTTCCTCCAAACTCTCGTCCCAAATACTTGGAAAACGATTCATCCTTTAATGGTGTTTATTTTTCGTTTTAAATTATGCTGTTCGAATACATGAAAAAAGAAAGTTACGGTTTATGAGCTTGTCTTGACCATGACCATGACCATTAGTGTATGAACGTTTTGTTAAAAAAATGACAGCTATGTAATTAGTTTTGATAAGATGTTACTAGGCAAAATAGTGAACACGAGTTTTGTTCGTTTATAAGAAATCCAACATGATTATATGTCATTTATTATACTTACTCGACATTTTATTTAAAATAAAAGACATCGAATCTCAATCTTATGATAGTATGCGTACTTAACCATGCATCCATAACACGATTTAAAAAGTTTCTTCGGGTAAATAATATTTTTTATAAATGTAACTTGAGAGCCGCAGGTTGCCGACCCCTGACTTAGTTTACAAATCGTACACAAATTCATACCACCAAAGTTTTCGATAGTATTCAAGTCTGGCTATATAGTATTAATATTACTAGGAATTTCAATGATAGGAATTTATAATAACCGGATTTACATAAACGGAGCAAGGCTGAATACATTTTTTTTTTTAAATATCACTAACTCTGCTTGTGTTAAACTTACTTTAAATTAATTAAAATTGTATGTACACTTGGCATCATAGTAGAGTATAGTATAGATTATATATATTTATAAATATTATAAGTATGATATAGATTATACTAGAAGGTGGGGGAAGTGCACAGCTGTTTATTGTTTAAGGCATCAAGTATCTTTCCCCTACTGATATTACAATCAATACTGCTGGCACCTAATTTAATAGTGTAAAATCTGGTGTAGTCTGATTATCGAGCTTTTTATGGGTATTCCTACCAGTGAAATAGGTAACGATATTTATGATAGCAAAACTTTAATCCACCCTTAACTATAATTTATAATTACCTAAGTGTAGTATAAATTTTTTATTGAAATAAAACACCTTTACGGACTTTTTATCCCTATTTAACCTTACAGAGGCCGACAGTTATAAATACAATATTACATTATAATTTGTTTTGTTAACAGGAGATGATCATCCCGGTCAGAAACAACGCAAAGGATTCTTCAGAAGCTTATGGAAAAAGTCTCGTCATTATTCATTAGAACACCCGTGATGTGATTACGTGATGGGGCTAGGCTACTTTTTAACCATCGCCCCAACTTGTAAAATGCACAACAACTAATAAGTCTATCGTAAAAGACTATTATTTCTGTAAAGTAAATGTGCAGTATTGTATTATGTACTAATTTATTTTTACACGAAATTAGCCGACTCAGCCTAAATATTGATATACCTGCTGACTGACAGTATCCGACTATATCTTGTTTACGTCACATAAGTACATAACTATACGAAGACAATTATTTTGTTAGATCATTTAACATGTATGCTTGCATATTCAAACGTTCAGAAACGGTTGTAATTACTGCGTTGGCTTTATAATGCGCGCGTTGTTTAACATATTATGTAAAGGCAGTGGTTTATTACTTTAATTTATGTAATTATATCACACATAATTTTATTTGTAAGGACGGCGATACATCAATTTTTCGTGAATAGATAAGATGTAGAAATGTAGATAATCTCGTAGAAAATATATGAACAAATGACACGTTTTTCTTTGAAAAACTCAAGTCATATTAGCATTCTGAGATAGTATTATATTTTATTTATAATCATAAATACATTTTGCATGATAGAAGTATTATCGCAATTTCACATTTTATTTATGATGTAGTACTTTAATATCGGTTCTCGTGTGTTGTATGTAATTCTAAAGAACCACTTGATAGGCTATTGCTACAAGTTTAACATTTTATACCAATCCTTGTATTCGAGTGTACTTAACTCATATTATTGTAGATTTTGTCAAAAGAAAATAAAACTATGTTCATTAGCAATAAATAAATGTTTTTCATTTTAAAAACGTTCCAAAACTCGTAGAGGTAATATATTGATATCATTGTCCTAAGTGTATTTTTTTATATATAATGTATTTTTACGATCAGCAGACAATTCTGTAATAATCTGAACCCGACTTCGAATTCACTCTTGTGTCCGAATCCACGTCATTTAGTGAAGAAATTCTATTGATTCCAATTGTATTAAGACACAAAATCAAATTTATTACTATTGATAATTCGTGTCTCAGATCTTGTATTCCTGTCATTTCGAAAGTCACTTATGGCACGAAACTATTAAGTAAATTCAGACACCTGAGTGAATTCGAATTCGGGATTGGATTTTTACAGAATTTAGGGCAGGAGTATTACAGAAAAACCAGTTTGTATAATACAAATCATTTTATTATTAGATAGACACAGTTCCCATCGCTTATCAGAAACAATGTACAAAGCTATAGTAGTAATATCAAATATAAACAATATGCACCCTTCGTTTACTGCAAGCCTTATTTCAGGATACAGGGTAATTGAGCGCTTCTAGTTTCTGCAGTTAAGACATTATAAGAACAGAATGCAAATGTTTATTATTCACTACACAATATTATAAATGCGACGCAATAAAAAAAAGCATAGCAGAAATCTGTATCAGCGGGTGCGCATACGCACGGACACCGCCGCTCACTGTTGTGTCGGACGCTACTCACACGATGGTACCAGTGGGACTAGAGATTTTAATTAAAATTGTAATACTTGGGTTACAGTGTCTTTCATTTGTAACAAGCCCTTACACAAAATGCTTATTTTGTAATAATATATATAAAGGTCGTATAATATTGTTACAGTAATTTCATTACGTGGTTATTATACTTCTAATCAAGCATCCATATGTCGAGATGAGGTGATATTAATAGGAATTCATAATAAAAATATTTTAAGTATGATATTATTCAACGCGAACGGGGATGCTTGATAAGAAAACCTAAAAAAATCTCTATACATCATGCTTTGAGACCTGCTTGCAAAGCTGAATTACGCTTTACTATACGGGTCAAGGAAAGCAAATTTTAAAATACAATTTTAAACCAGTTAACAGTAACAATCACTCTGTGGAAGCGGTGAGCGGTATAAAAAATGGGTCCAAAATCCGCAAAGTAATTGTATCTGCACAGTTACTAAACGCATCAGACACTGATGACGCCATAATTCATCAAATATCAAAACAAATGAACGGTCCTTATCACTTTATAGAATATACAAAATGCAGTTACTTATTTCCCTGTGGAAAAATATTATCTTATAGTATTCTTAGATCACGGCGCGCTTCGATCTGAAACCAAGTAAAGATAAACTGACGAGTTGTTCACGATAAATGGTACAATATTATATTCGACAAAATGTATAAAGTTAAAACTGCTCACCTCTAATAACCACAGGTAATTAAATAATCTCCTAACTTCTCCACTACGGATGCGGCTTGCTGGGGTTGGATGGGTTCTTCATACAGAGAGATAACGACAGCTGCAACAAAAAAAAAAACAGGTTTAACTACAATTCATATGAACTGAATCAGAGGGCTTATATATTTGTGGGCGTTTCCTATTTACTCGGTTGAAATCAAGTTGTTCGTTGTGTAACGTTTTTTTCGTAAAAAGTTTATAAGTAACCAGTTATAAAGTGGGAAATCCTGGTCTTTTTTAAACTTCGATACAAAGTCCGTATACGCGACGATCATTTCACCAAAGGCGTATGGACATATATGGGGTCTATACTAATATTATGCCCCGAAACTGCTGGACCAATTTTAAACGATTCTTTCACCTATCCTACGCGGGTGGTGGTGAGATATGTTTTTTGATAACATCCAAAATAATAAGATTAACAACTTAGTTCAGCCAGCACCAGATTCGGATAAATTTTTTAGTTACTGTCAATACTAGAGATGCGCCGAATATTCGTTTGGTATTCGGTATTCGGCAGACTTATTCGGGTTTTTGTGCCGAATATATATATGGTTCGAATATTTCTATTTTCTTGGCTACACGATATGGTATAGAACAAAAGACAAAACTTCTTATGGAAAATTTATGTTACATTATAAGTCAAAGAAATCCTATGAACAATGTGTTCAATAAAATAAAGCAATGTAGCTTCAAATCATATATATTTATTTTATAAACTATAGTTGCTTGATATACAAATATAATAGAGATCAGTAATAATCAGAGGTCGGAATTAGGTAGAGTTATTTATGTACTTGCATCGAAATGTTGATATTAATGTGGACCTTCCCGGGATTTCTAGTGGACAATCTTGGACATCTTTGGACATCCAATGTCATTGATGTAAGTTTGGCAACGTCGTGCGTGCAGTAGTTTAAATTGTGTAAAAGTAAATAACTTCATTTAAAAAATCACGGGATTTTTTCTGCTCTTTAAAATTAATCTTGGGATTTGAGGCATATCCACTTTATTCTTTCGCTGTATGAAATTAGTGTAAGTACATGAATAACTCTACCTAATTCCGACCACTGGTAATAATAGATAAATAAAAATAAATATATTTATACATATTTTAATATTACCAAACTCTCGGCTCTCTTCGGCAGTCTGTTAGGTTTTAAACGATAATAAAATCGAAAGGGAGGAGCTTATAATGTTGCATCTGTTCACCGAATTTTCCGCGAAATGTTGATCGATTTTCAAATTTCATTTTATTCGACAGCTTGATGGACCGTGGTGGTCCTATTTAAGTTTTATCGGAATTTTCTTTTATAACAAAACATAATCAAATATCAGTTTCTGCGCTGGTTGGAAAAAATTGTCGACCCGGGCCTATTACCGCCCCGAACCTCCGCCACTGCCTATCCAAAACAAACAAACAATCAAATCTTTCTTCTCTATAATAGGAGTAGATTCTTGGAAAAAAATATGTCGAACAAATAAACAAAATCTCTTTTAATAAGACTTTTAATATTCTTTATGTTACCCATTACATAAAAAAATCTCAATATCACTAAAAAGCATATAATTTTTCATTTCAAAAATAGAACCGAGTTCAAAACTAAATAAGGGATAAATGAAACTTATCTCAAAAGCGCTTTATTCAAGAAACTGCTATTGAAGTCAGGCGCCTACCATTTAATTAATAACCTACAGTTAACCTCCAGTAGATTTCAATAGCAGTTTATTGAATAAAGCGCTTTTGAGATAAGTATTATTTAAAGTTTTATTCTTTATATAGGTTATTCTCCCAAAATCATTGTTCGCTATATTACAAGAAGCACTTAGAAACACTGTGTCTAAATAAAATTTATGAAATGGTAAACCAAGCAATTCGGGCGAATATCCGATTCGGTAAAAGTGAAACCCAAGACTATTCGGTTATTCGGTGAAATCACTATTCGACGCATCTCTCATGTAAAAAAAAGTAAATCAAAAATAAATACCGATTTCAGATATTCAGACATTGTTTTTGTTTTAAAAATGTGATTTTTTTGAACCCTGAAATATTTATAGAGAGACTTACCTTGTTGTGTCTTCATGCAGTGTACGCCGACTTTGCCAAGTTTCGCACGTATGATGCGGTCTGTGCCACTGAGGTAGATGTACCGTGTACCCGCTATCGTCACGCCTCCACTTGTAAGGAGCGATTCATTTTCAAATCCAGCCACTATCTTCGCAACCTCATCTTTTGATATCTGTTAACAAGGATAATTACATTAGCACATACAGATTAAATCAAACTAACTAATCAATTCGATTTATAAACGCTTTAGTCAATGTGGTCAGTATTTTTTCGAGTGCAAATTGAAAGCACAACTTTGTACCGGATTTCTAAAACCTAATTTTGCTCCTAATTCTTCATCTTTTCAACCTTATATCGAAAATTATCAAGTTATTATATTCCTTATACTTTGCTATGCAGGGTCACCATTTATGTCCCGAATTTTCCAGGACAATCCCGATTACAATGTTGTCCCACGTCTCGACTTCTTAATAATTTTGTCCTAGTTTTTTAAAAATCCGACAAAAAAATTTATATCTACTAAAAATATTCTTTGAAAATAGATAAATTTTATAAAGGACACATGCTATGAGTACCATAGTACTTGCCGAGGTGACAGCTTTTCATCAGGCGGGCCTTACGTCTGTTTTTACCTTAGTTAACATATAAGGGCTGGGTGTAAAGACAAGACTGTCTCAGACGACAG